TCCACTAGTTACAGGCCTCCAACTAGACTACAGGAAATATTCTCCTGTGTTAAATGTAAAGACTGCACTTAGCAAAAGATAGGAAGAAGGGGGCAGGGAAGAGCTTCTGGTATGTGGACACTAATTATGGGATCAATGGCAGCAGCTTTGGAGTTGAAGGTCTATGTGTGACCCCCTTGTCATAGAGACCAGAGAGGCAAAGGGGAACTAACTCCAATGCTGGAGTTCAGAAATCTGGTCTAAATCTGGTCTAAATAAAGGGTCATTTGGGTTCTTGAGGTCGGCTTTCAAGAGAGACTCTTACAACTTGATAGTCTTTCTCTCACATTGATGCTAGGAGCTCTCTAAACCCAGAACATGTTTCATACAAACTTTTGAGCTGCTCATAAAGTGCAGTTCAGAGCTTCAGAGTCTACCATTGTTCTGCTGCAATGGGCTGGAGCCTTGTGGGTCATTACATGCAGGACACGCACAATGTTTGCTGCCCAGAAAAATTGACTTCTAGCACTCTGGCTTTTAGCTTATAAAGTGTTTCTAGTCCCTGCTTGTGACTGCTAAAACACAAGCTGATCTCCCTTAGGACCTGCTTCTAAACTTAATCAATTTTCACAGTAACAAGTTCTCCCTATGCAATTTTTATTGATATTAATACATGGTGCTAGTTTTCTTGCTGCTTATCAGGCATTTTTATCTCCTTTTCAAGTGGTTCATGCACAGGTTTTGTAACCTGTACTTATGTATTTTGTAAGTAATATATTTAATTAGTGCGGACTGTTACCCACAAGCCTTCCCTGATGTCCTTACCACAGTGGCTGCAGCAGGACTATCATATGTTCAATTGCTCATGTCTATTTTTAGTCTTTAGTTTAGTTTTTTTATCATATGAGGTCTTGTTGGCTTTTAAAATGAGTTCTGAATCTAGTGGGAGAAATTCTGGTGTTACTGAAACTCACTTCTACGGATTTTGTGTGAACAAGTGTTCATGCCTGCATTTCAGAAGGTCTAGGAATTCCCCCAGGGTCCAAAAGTCTCTAACAGCGCAGATGAGGGCTTTTCCATCCCATCTCTGTATGCTTCTTGCTTCGCTTCTGACCCCATGAGCTGGTCTTCTGTCATTTCCATTACCACACATATACTTACATTTTAATTTATTTAGCTTCTGAACAGCCAATGTTCCCCTGAAAAAGGACAGAAAAATGCTATTCAGCACTGAGGCACTCAGGTGCAGACAGGCAAAGGGATCCAAAATCTTGTGGGAAATCCATGACAGAACATGGCTTTGGGCTCAGGTCTCCCCATGCTAAAATTAGGCTTAATCCTTCTCATTCAGGTCTGGCCCTGTTATTTCTGATACGAATTGTTAATTGTGCCTTGTGCTTATTTTTCAGCACAAGGTTTGTATTATATCAGCTGAAGAATTTTCTCCAGAATATGTGGATCCCAAAGTACAGTGCATAGCTGCTTACGGAAGTACCAGTGATGGACGGTAACTTGCTTGGTTTTATCCTTCATATTTTCTGAAGAAGACCTTGAAAGGCAGACTAAATGGGATTTTAATTCTTTTGAATGAACCTTTGCTCAGTGCCTCGCAGGTGATTGGTAGGCAACTTTTGCAATGTAGCATTTGTAAAAAAGGTGAAGTGTTAGTGTTATTCTAGACAGTCTTTGTGCAGGATTTTGTTAATACTAGCCTCTTCCTGACCTGTCTGAACTACTGAGTGCTGATGCATTAGAAAACCCACATCTTTCACACACCATCCAGTATGATAGGTGTCTAAGGTGGAGAAACATCGCTACTTTGGTGACCTGAAATGCTTACCACTCCATCCAGAGTTTCATTCTGCATGTTACTGCTTCAGTTGTTCCAAAATGGCTTTAATTTGTAATTAGGTAGGGGATGTGGCTGCTGTTTCAGGCACAGATCCACCAGCTTAACATGATGGCATCAAACTACTCAACATGTAAACCTCCACTTCACAAACAAGCCATTCCCTTGTTCATCTGGTTTTGGGGCCTGTGTAGTAAGTGTGCTTTCAGCATTTATTCCACACATCAACACCAGATGATCCTTCTCCTCCCTTATACTTTGATAAGACCAGTAATTAGAGCATTCATCTATGGCTTGGCTGACCCAGGTTGATGGCTCTTGCTGCAAAGATCAGAACCTGAACTTTCACTTCCCAAGCGGTGAGGTTTGGGTTCTGCAGAGCAGTTGATTTGTTCCATTGAAGCTCTTTCCTTCTCCATATGTTTTATTTTTGGGGCCAGATAGGAACTATCACTGCAGCTTCCAAATTAGAGAGCCCTACGTTTCAGTTCCTGTTGCACTCCCCGGGATGTTCCTTGTGATGCTACTCCTAAGGTTTTATTTTCCTACTGATCTGGCAATGGAAAGGGCTTCAAAGTAAAAGTGAATGTCATTTGCAGGACTTCAGAGACAGAAAGAGTTGGTGACTAGGTCTAATAGTTTTCCAGACGGTTGCTTCTAATATAATGGCTGAATTGAAATAGAAAGTGGAAAAATCTGGATAGTAAATTGGATAAAAGCATGTGACTGTAAGCTTTGGCTTCCAAGCATGCACAGCCTTGAATCACAGCTTTAATTCTGCTCAGGGTGTTACAACTGAGAGCAGCTTTCTAAAACTGAAGATGCTTGTCCTCACACCAAAGGTATTTTGCATTCCTGGGCATTTATGTTCTGCATAATATGAGAGAAAGAGGCTGGGTGAAAAACATGATTTGAAATAAAGCTAATGTAGGAATTTGTACCTTTTTGTTTGCTTTTGTGTTGGGTTTTTTTTTTTTTTTTTTTAATCTCTTGTTATATTTGCATAGTGTATTGTATGTTTATGTTCTGTTATTAAGACCATTATCTGGCAGCATTTTTCCTTTTGTGAAAGTGTTTAGTGTTCACCAAGTTGAAAGATGCAGAGTCTTGGCTCAGTTTAACAGTATTATAAGTGAATGCGGCATGTGATTTCCCACACAGGCCTGGCAAGTAAATCTCAATCTTGGTTCTGAAACATACTTGCCATTCCAGTTCTGGGCTGGTCTTGAGCAAAGATTAATCATTGTCTGTTGAGTACTTACAAGAAGCCAACAAATACTGGCAGGAAACCCCCAAAACCATTTTATCCTGCAGTCTTGGAAAAACTTCTCTCAGTCAAGTTCTTCAGAATTAAATATACTCAGAAAGAAATAGTTAAACACAGCAGTGAATTAATAAGGATGCTTTCAAGGAGCACTGTTATTTATTTTGGCTCCAATTCTACAAATATTTGAGTGTATACTTAACTTCTAAGTATTTAAGTAGTCCCATTGACTTCAGTGGGAGAACTTGCATGTTTAAAGGATACACCTAGGTAAATATTTGTAGAACTGAGAATTCAATATTAGTACAGATTCTGGTGAATGTAGCTAACTGGATTAACTAACATTTATTTAATTCTTTAACAGTCTTAGTTCCCTTAGGTTTCCTCTTCTTTACCAGACTCTTTCCATTTTAACCATTCAGGTTATGGAAATTTTGAGTGAATAAAATTGGTCAATGTACATTTTCTCCTTTGTGAGTTAAACCCGTACCTTCATTTTTCATTTACTTTCTGATCATTTACATAGAATTCAAGGAGTAACAGGGGTTATTATTGCATTATTAATTGTAATACAGCCTAATACATAGACTTTTGTGAGTCAATTGCTTTTCCTTTTATGATGCTTAAGAAATTCTCCCACCCCTAAGAGTAATTACTATAATTCTTGTTTAGTGCAACGTGCATTCCCTCCGTGTACGAAACTCCACCAGCAGCTTTGGTTTTGAATGCATTCAAGGATGGGAAATTTTCCGAACTGTGGAGAAATACACTCAGTGATCCACTGAGTGCCCTTTTACCTTCTGACTCAGTTAATGGAATCACCTTGACACCGTTACAGGTATCTCATATTTGGAAAACTTTTCTTCCTAAGTCACAAAGCATGTTCTTAGTAAAGTTAAATAGATGAAACTCTTTAAGAGAATCAGAACTGAATGGTGTGGCATGATCAAAAAATTGCAGACTGAGTAATCCATAAAGACAATATACAGAAAGAGAAACAAAAATGCCAGCTGCTTTCTAAAATACACAGTAGTCTCACAGACTGCAAAAGAATGTTAGGTGTGCTTGGCATGCAAACAGATAGGAGTTGTAACACCATAGTCTTTGACGATATTTCACTTGCTGAGAGATGCTAAGTGCCCTCTCTTTCATTGCAAGTAGGTGGCACAGAGCACAGCTCATAAACCCAAGACTATTTCATGAAACAAATATACTATAAATCAGAGCTGCTCTTGTTTCTGCAGAACCAGATCACCTTGAGTGGCAGAGTGCCCCAGTTGGGCAGATACGTATTTGTGGTACATTTTTATCAGCCAGCACACCTGATGTTCCCTGTACAAGTGCATGTGGATGCAGGAAGTGTGTGGTCAGGTAAGCATCTGAGTTTGAACTAACTCTTTTCCTTTCTCAGCATTTGACATGTGGAGCATTTTTTAGCATTATCTTTTTTTCTTTTAGGTTCCTTCAATGCTTCATTCTGCCCTCATACCTCTGGCTGTCGGGATCAGGTGATTGCAGAAAACCAAATTGAGCTTGACATTTCTGAACCTGAGATCTCTGTTACGGTGATGATACCTGATGGAAAAATGCTGGTTCTGGTATGCTTATTACATAAATGTACTTGGAAATGTTATTCTCAGTCTCACCATTCATTTAGAGATAGATGCAAAGATGAAAGCCAAAACCAAAAAATTTAGTTTTTTAATGCAATGTTTCAAATTTTTAGGATCTTGTGCACTGCTTCTGTTTTATTTTAAATTTTCAAGATACCACACACTGTTTTTATTATACAGTGCTGTACATAGTTGCTGTAGCATCACAGCTCTGGAGGGGAGATAAGTATATTTTCCTTTTTTTCTTTTTTTTTCAGTTAAAATGTTACCAGTTTTGAGAAAGTCCAGAATGCATAATAAAGCAACATTTAAATATCTAAATGCCGTAGCTTGTGTCTTTTGCTTTTCTCTGAAATGTACAATTTAGCTTTTTTGTTGTTTTAAGGAAAATGTCCTAGTTGTTCCAGCAGACACCTACAGTTACAGAATTCTTGACAAAAAGACAGTGGACAAGTCGTTTGATTTTATCAGCCAATGCGGAGGAAACAGTTTTTATACTGAGTAAGCATCACTTTCTAAAAAACTGAACATTTGACAACAAGCTGGGAATTAATATTATTTTCATTCTGTATTAAAGAAACATGTATAAAATCCCCATCATTGTGCTACATAAAAATGCTTTTCATGGCTTATGCTGGCCCATTAAATTTCCATGAGTCATTTTTCCATGACTTTCTATTGTAAATGAAATGTAAAAGTAGAGCTTTATTGCTCACAGCACAAAAGAGGAAAATCTATGTCATCTTTCTGTCTTTGGTATTTCCATCTTTGGTATTTGGTATTGTGCTTGGCAAGTCTGAACTGATATGACTAATACATGCACCTTCTTTGAAAAAAATCTCTTACCTGTATGTCAAAGCCATTCACCACTAATTTTATTAAATTATATCATTGCATGCGTACTAGTGCCATTCTGATGTCAAAGAGCAGTTTGAAAGAGAGGACCCTAATTTACTGAATTTACTAAAACGTGCTTATAACAATTTCCAAGTGCCGGTACTTACATAATTTATATTTCAATTTAAATAGCCCAGAAAGATCATCGACCTTCTGCAAGGACTCTGTGAAGTCACTGGTGGCTTTCTACAACAATGGAGCCCTGCCATGTAATTGCCACAGTGCAGGTGCCACGAGCCCTGCTTGCAGCCCCCTGGGAGGACAGTGTATTTGCAGGCCTCATGTCATCGGTCGTCAATGCAGCCGATGCCAAACTGGCTACTATGGATTCCCATTCTGCAAGTGTAAGTACATGCTCAGACTTACTCAGCACCTGTTTCGATCTTTTATTTAATTCTCTGATTTTACTGCATAGGTACCTCAGCCTCACTTTTCTTTATAAGGCTTGATCCTATGAGTCTGGTTAGATTTAGCATAGCATAGCTTTCAGATTAAGGCAGAAGTAACCCCATTCTCTTAAAGCACACCTAGTTCACGATGAAGTATGCCTTCGCATGTGTTGTCTGATCAGGTGTAGTAGGCTTGTAGTTAAACTGGTTAAAATCCATATTGCCACTCTTTCAGTCAAATGGATTTTTCTACACTGACTGCTAAATCAATTCCAAGTTACTACTATTGTATCCCAGTTCTCAAATTCCAGATTTTCCATAGATAATCAGAGACATAGCATTCTTAATTCCTCATACTCTGATGTTATTCTTAATAACATCAACAGATTTATAGATTGCACCGACTGTCCTCAGTTGCCTTCCCAGGTATTATACTCAATGTTTATAAATGTTGCTTTGTAAAAATGGTGCCCTTAACACTAAAACTGTTTGTCGTTTAATCCTTGGCAGTTTAGGGGAAGTGATTAATAATGCCTGTGGTGAAGTTAAGCAACCAATTTGTGGAAAAGAGCCAGTCACTAAAGCTACTCTTTGAAACAATCGTTACAGTCATATAGTTGGTTTCCATGACCCTGAGCTTAAAACTAGTGAAAGAGAGAAAAGAATCCTGTCTTTTATACATACAGGTTGCATGTGTTTGTTTCATGTGTGAGTTCAATAAGAACTGATCATTGTAAATAGAGATGTGATTGATTAGTAGAACATTTTCTTTTCACCTAGTATGCAACTGCAGGCAGCATCTTTGTGATGAAGTGACTGGTAAATGCATTTGCCCTCCACACACTGTGAAACCAAAATGTGAAGTGTGTGAGAAACATTACTTCAGCTATCACCCTCTTGCTGGCTGTCAGAGCTGCAACTGTTCAGAAAGAGGAATCACTAATGCGGCAAGCCCAGGATGTGAAAAAAACAATGGGCAATGCAAGTAAGTTTGGGTTATGTGTGTTATAAACAATACACAAGTGGTTTGCCTCACGGGTCTTTCCAGATATTTGGAGGAGATGCAGAAAGGTTTGATGATGATGATAAACAGAGATTCGAGTAGTGCTTGGCAACAGTGAGGACTCACCTGTTTCAGGGACACCTGCAGTGTTTTTGTGGAAACTTGGCTTGTGTGGGTAATAATGGTGAGATTTAGGATTCCTAGGCTTGCGTGTTGTTTTGCCAGTAACATGCCTTGTCGCTCATGGTAAGACACCAAATCTTTGTCCAGCTCATATGACTTATCCAATGTTAGTCAGTAGGAGACCTCAGATTAGAGCTGCTGACTTCTGGACATGTATATCATTTGTAATGGGCACATTATTTCCCAATTCTTAAAACTTTGCAGTTGGCTTTTCACAGTCTGATGTCTGAATTTAAGTGTAATGATGTTTTTCAGTACTGTAAAGCTTGAATGTTTGCAATAAATTTAGAGAAACTTTGATGATAGGCGTCATATGTATGGAAAATACAGTTCAGTTCTAGTCATAGGTGATAATTGCCCTTAAAATTATGCCTTCTGCATGACATATTCTTATTTTTCTGTAACTCAGCATGGTGAGATGAGAATAAGTTCTTTAGTTTTATTCTCTTACTTACGTTCTCTAAAATAGGTATAGCACACAGTCACAACCATAGGGAATGATCTTAATTTCAGATGCTGTCATATTAGTATAGTTGAACATTTTTATTATTTCCCTGGGGAGATTGAGTCCTTAAATATCAAGTACAAATACTTGATAGTCATTAGGTTGTATAAGGCTGGGATTAGTTCAGTTTGATTCGTTTGGCTGTGTTAAGGTCCTAACAAAGAGAAATCTGTCCTTCCTGCTCTGCCATTAAGCCTGCAAATATGATAGAGAACACTAATTTTCAGAGAATGCTGATATTATTTCCCTAATTTAAATTATTTTCTTAAGTTTATCCTTTGCATATTAAGTGAATCATTGTCTTATCCCAAGAGCAAAACAGGAATCTGTTCTCACATTTAGAAGTTGGGGTTCAGGGTTAAAGTGTAGCTTGTTCTGCTTCTTCCTGATACCTTCTCAATCTGATTAGTCTATGCTTTCATTTTCCCCATAGAATACAAAATAAAATAAAAAGAAATACTGTGCAAAAATAAATCAAATAAATAATTCAGTCAAATAAAATCTAAATCAAAGACATTCAAAGAAAGATTAATGTGATGAAATTAAAATTTAAAGAAAGGGCTTAACACATTTCTACTTGAGTAAAATTGAGGATAGTTTTTGCAGAAATAGTAATATTTTTCTGTTTCAGTGGAAAGCTGTATTGCCTGAATATAATGGCGATATTTCTCATGTGCAGCCTAATTGGAAATATTAAATAAATGACAGCTTATTGGTAAAAAATCCTGAAGCAAAATTTGACATTTACCGAATACCTTTGGACTGATTGCTGAAGTACATAGCTAACTGCTACATTCCGATTAATGCTTTTCCTTCTGTGGATTACACAAAGTTCAAAGTCCCCACCCAGCTGCAGTTATCTGTGTGTGGAAGTAATGGATTCAGGGAGATTGAGAAACCTTGCCCATTGTTTGAGGAATTGAGTGTTTGCTTTACATGTATCACACAGGGTGCAGTCTACTTTGTCTGCATACGTTAACTGTCTGTTTCCATTAAATTCATAGCATTAGTGCACATATGAATTTGGTGCTGAGAGCTGAAGGAGACTTACTTGCTGAGATTTTTAAAACTTATCACAACTAAAATGTAAAGATGTGGATGATGGCGGTGGCAAAGATATTGTTTATCAATGGATCCTTACTCTTTTGAAACCTGTTTTGGGCTAGTACAGGCAGTTTACCAGCATGGACAGGAGGAAGAGGGATCAGACCTACATTTTGACTAGTTTTATCAGACTGTGCAAATTCGTTGTAAAGGTAGCGTGAAGCAGCTGCTGTCACAGAAAGATGTTTGCTCTTATCTCAAAACAAACACCAATTATGAACAAGGTTTTACATCTGTGCTGTACCTCACCTAAACAAATTCAAGGCATTCAGCCTTCACTGTGAGCAAAGTGGATTTTATCCTTTGTGAACAGTTGTAAACTAACCCAAGCCTTGTAACAGGTTGAAGTCTCCATAATTATTTATGTGCCAGGAATTCTGCAGCTTTTTGTTAGCAGATGAGTGCTTTGAGAAATGCTCACTCCAGCTCCAATCCTCCAGCTATGAATCTTCTTCCAGCTCTGTGTACCCACATACAACATCCATGTTTCACAGTGTGGTGCATAGAGAGAGTAGTTCTGCACTGGAAACACTGAATAGCTGCACAAGTCTAATTCTATTGTGAGCATTTATATCCTTCAAAATCAAATCCACTCCTAATCAGTTCCATGACCATATAAAACATCTCACCATTCAACTCTGAGAACAGTACTAACTTGCTGCTGTTTCTCCTTGAAAATCATAAAGTCGTGTAATAGCCATGCAATCACTTCAGAGATCCACCCGCCTTTTGTTTGATCTGCTCTTCCTTGCTCCATTCCTGCCTCCTCTATTGACCCCCTCCTCTGTGTTTGTTTGTTGATAAAGATGCAAACCAGGAATAACAGGACGGCAGTGTGATCAGTGTGCTCCTGGTACTTACGGTTTCCCAAACTGTGTGCCATGCAACTGCAACAGGCACGGAACAGAACCAGATGTTTGCGATCCCCAGACAGGAATTTGTCTCTGCAAGGTCAGATAAATCAAATTACTTCTGCATTCACAAGCATCGTTTGCACTTCAGTGACTATTTCATACTTAATAGGGTGAATGAAGTGAGTTTATCATTAAGTTTTCAGCAAGAATTAAATGCAGCTGAACAAAAACATCACACCTTGAGATATGTGCACTGATTATCATGGTAGCAGTTAATGCCATTTTCTAATTAGTTCAATATCTGTCAGTTGTCCAGGTGGTCTTGGGCTTTGCAGGGTGTTGCAGTGCTGCAGAGGAGATGACCATTGATTCACTGAAGCAGTCTGTACTCTGCACCAATCCCCTTTATGCATCCGTATCGTGGCTTTTGGATGTTAACCAGGTCCCATAAGTTTTTAGCCATATTATGTCAGTTGACATTTCACCACATCACTGTATCCAGAATATCTTCTTTTGTTCTGATCTACATAATTAAATGTGATAAATGTGAACTTTCACAGGTGACCTTTTATATTGTAGGTTTGGAAAAGCCAGCAGGAGGGTTTTGGCAGGGAAGTTACCAGCTGTCTCTGACTAATATACATTACTCAGTGGGTCACTTCATAAACTGGAAAGACAGCTTGTAACTAAGGCAGTCTCCTAGAAGTTAGTTATATTTGCATTTGGAATATTGAGTATCCAAACACATTTTTTCATTCATGTTTTCATACATTTAAATCAATATTCTTTCAGAAGATTTGTTTTATGTGCAGGAGGTTTTGGGGGCCTCTCCAAAACCAAAAGGAAAACTCTCAGCTTTCTCTCAACTTAACAGGAGAATGTTGAAGGTGCAGAATGTGATACTTGCCGATCAGGATCCTTTTACCTGGACCCTTCTAATCCCAAGGGATGCACCTCTTGCTTTTGTTTTGGGGCAACCAGTGACTGTCGCAGCACAAATCGTCGTAGAACCAAGGTGTATTTAATAGTGGGTTTTTTCTTTGTTATCACAAACCTATATTTATTCCATTCAGGAAATGCCAGATTTCTTCCAGAAATGAAAATAGTTTTTGTTTTTTAGTTTCTGAAGATGCAAAACATTCTGCAAGCAATAGCACAGATGTAGTGGAGCCTTGTTAAGACTTAGGTGTAGTCTGAAAATACCTTCCAGCAGAAATGGCTCTTTTCTGATTTATTTGTTTACAAATCACTAATTGGACTGAAATTGAGCTGGTCATCTGTTGCTTTATCTTCAGACACCCGTTCATCATTAAAGTCAATCGTCTTCTTCATGATGCTTTGATAAGCACATATGTCATTTTACATGTCTATACCATACATGCACTTTGAGACTCAAGAAATGTGTGACAGAGTCCGCAGAGATTGTAAAAATTGTCCTTCTTCCTCCCCTATAAAAAACACATGACATCAAGGGTGAGAAAAGAAGGAGGAGAGCATAGAGTTTTAGTAGCATAAATGAATGGTAATGCTAGCTGAAGACTGAAAAAAGGAACAACTCCCTGAAATAATGCAAGAGAAAGAAAAGAGAGCAGCAGAGCCCTAGAATGAAGGATAAAGGGTTTAGTTTAGTCTTAGATGCAGACTAGATGCATTCCAGGTTGTGACTCTTTACTGTTTGCAAGCAAAGGATGAAAATCTGGCATCAGTGAAGTCAATAGCAAATTTCCTTTAGAACAATTTCATCTAGTGATTACTTGTCCTCACTAAAGACTGTTTTTAGAAACATGTCTTTTTGGTTTATTGCTCTGGCCACCACAGAACTGTTCTGGTACATATGCAGCATGCTTTCTTTCCCCCAGCATAATGATAAATAACAGGATGTATGGTCTTTCATGAAACAAGAGCCATGAAAATAAAATGTGCATTAAAGAGCCAGAATATTAGGCTACATTGCCTGCCTCTCCAAAATTTCCTACCATGTCCCCTTCCTCCCAGTTAACATACCACAAGAAGTCAGCAGTCTACCTTTTAGGTTAATGTCTGTGGTTTGATTTTGGAATGGACTTAAAAAAGCAGCTCCAAGTGAAATCCTTGAGTTTGTGTACACAATTCCTAGTCACTTCCAAAAGGGTTATGTCTTCATGTGACTGAAGGCATAATTTAGTTTGCAGCTGGCAAACCAAATGACTACATCACATGTAGCTTTGGCACATTTGTCCCACTTATTCTCTCTTTTGAGGTCCTTGCAACATCTATTGCGCAAAACCCTTAGGCTGGCTTTGAAGGGGTTGAATTTCTTGCTTGGGGAATTAGAGAAGCTAAGCAATTTCTCCTCATTACTTGGTGCTGGTAAAGTTTAGTAAACAATGAAACAAGCCTTTATTTCTCTTATGTATATTTTCATCAGTTTGTGGACATGAAGAACTGGCGCTTGGAGGCAGTGGATGAAAATATTGACATTCCAGTCACTTTCAATCCAGTCAGTAGTAGTGTAGTGGCTGATGTTCAAGAGTTGCCTACTTCAGTGCATAGTTTGTACTGGAAAGCACCACCATCTTACCTGAGAGAGAAGGTAAATGACACCTAACTCATCTGTTTTAATGAGACGTATTCATTTTTTGCTAGCAACATTGATATAAAGCAGGCAATAACCTTTTTTCAAACGCAGCTATTAAGAACAGTGCTATGAGTTTTATGTTGCATATCGCAGTGTCTAACTAGGCATGCCATGACTTGCTTTTATTTACAATGGCAACACTGTAAATACAACAGTTCTATTTTTGGACCGCTTTTTACCATATACTGCGTGCAAGTGTATATTTTAGCACTGGCTATACTGCTGTAGTGAAAGCAGTGCAGAAACTAACAGTCATTGAGAAATTCAGATCACTTTGTTCCCATTTTCTACTCTTGTGTATTTATTATTCCATTTAGTAGACCGCTTTTAATGTTAGAAAAGAAATACTGTACGTATAGAATACAGAGGGTAGTTTATAACACCAGTATTTTCCCATTACAAGAAAAATTTAAAAAGCAGTAACAGAACGGCCTGTCATATGGTGCAGTCCTAAAATGTGTGTTAAACAGGAAATTAGATCTAATTTGAGTTTTCTTGTATTTTTGTTAAAATTTATTTTTATAGCATTGTTTTGATTGTGTTGGCAAAATACAGCCAATGTTCCAAATGATGCATTTGAAAATACAGTTGGCGAAAGATAATAGCATTAATCATGGCCCTGTGATCCAAGGAAGACATTTAATACTTTGTTTTGTTTATAATTTGTTGAAGTGTATGGAACAGGGTAGAGCAAAGACTGGTGCTTACCTCCAGAACACCAAAACCAGACAGAACTGTTCTTCCTCCCATGTCAAAACCAATCATAAGCCATAAGGGCAAACAGCAAGGGGTGCAAAACAAAGTAGTATATCTGTGACAAAACACCTGATTTCACTTAATATCCACAAACCTTTCTTCTAGGCTCTTCTTGAAATAAAAACTGTCTGTGCTCTGCCTGGAGCTTATTTTTCTCTTGCTGTATTTTTGAACTGACTCACTCAGACAGGACCGAGGGAAGCTGCTTGTTAGATGATTCAAACAGACTTGGCCAAGTCTTTGTTCTGGGCAGCAGTGTATGTATTTGGTTGGGTTTGAGGCCACCTGTGGTGACCAAAAGAAGTTAAGTTTCAGCTCAACCTACAGCAATGGTCTGTTTACAGCACAGCTGATATCAGGAGCTGGTATCAGTAGTAATCCTGTCCTCTAGAAGGTGGAGCAAAGATTTACTGATTAGATTCATGCTTGCAGGAAGATTAGAAAATGCCTATGGCCTATGAAAGCCACCTTTAAACATGTGTAGCCTGACTCTTCCTTTTTAGCCATGGCTGTTCATGGGGTTCACTACCAGTTTCATTGACAATCTCAGGTCTGTTCTTGATGAGCCAAATCTGTCCTGTAGAGTCTGAGGAAGCACAAAGTTCATGTGAACATGTGATTTCTCCATGACATAGATGGCATGATCCCAGGTATGAAAAAACCCAAAAGCTGACGCAGGTACACAGAGAACAGTAATGGGTACTGCTCAAAAAGTGATGTCAGATACAAAAAGTAAGCAAAATAAAAAGTAATTTCTTCCAAGCAACACATATTTTCATATTTGGTCTAAAGAACAAAGAAAAACTATATTATTTACAAGAAGTTGAAGTAAACTTGGATACAGACTTATGTTAATACCAAGCAATAGTGCAGTAAAGTATCTCTGGTCTTGTGCATTTTATTACAGCTTTCTTCATATGGTGGCTTCCTAAGTTACCAACTGAAATCTTTTGGCTTACCTAGTGAGGGCATGGTTCTTCTGGATAAGAGACCTGATATACAACTAACAGTAAGTTTTGAAATGCTATTTTTTCTTTCAAGCAGTGCCAATATCATGATTTTTTCTGTTACCTGACAACTATGGCAATTTTTGCTCCTATAGTATGCATAACTTTTATAGCAAATTGCTACGTTTTTATAAAAGTGATTTTACTGCATTTTGCTCAAAGCCATCAACATGTCTATCTCTGTTGCCAGTGTAACATTATTAAGCATAACTGACTTGAGAGCAAATAAAAAGACAAAACGGGACTTTCTCTGTAAAATGCACCTGTGGAAAAAAATAATTAATGCCTTGCACACTTGTCAACAAGTATGGCCTTGACTCTGCAAAATATGCCCTGGATTCCATGTGTAATTAATCTTATTTTCTGTGAGAATTTTCTTCAGCATAAAATTAAGGATAATTATAAGGCTTCAAGGGACTGAACTAAAAATGCATTTCAGGTTAACAGTTTTTTAATTTAACCACTTTAGGGCCAAAATGGCAATATTTTACTGTTTGATGAAATTCCCAAGGTGGTGGTTTTGTTTCTTCAGACCATCAGGAATACTAATTCAGGATTCTAGGTATCTCACTGGGAAGCATGCCTCATAAAGTACTACAGTAGTATCCGAAGTTGTTTGTGCACCAGGATGCAAAGGAAAATGTTTGAAAAGGCAAAAACATTTCTACACAAAAGTCATAACTAGTTCCTGTGAAAATTGGTCAGCATTAATTTAATTCTCCTGGTGTTTTATTTGAAAGCAAGGTTGTTAATAGGCAAAAGCAGTGAAAACCTTGCTGACACGAGCACACTGTGCTTGCTATACCACTTTGCTAGTTTTCCTAGTATTACTTAGTTTTTCCCCTGCAAAGAACAGGATTAATGTGCTTCACCAGTTTTTATTGCATCTGAACACCTTACCATAAAAAGTGGTGAAATGGCAATGTTATATCCTCATTCTCATATAGGGCCAGCAAATGAAAGTCATTTACATGGATCCCAACAACCCACTGCCTGACCGTCAATATTATGGCCGTGTGCAGTTAGTTGAGGTAAGAAATGAAAATGGAATGGCCTTCCCTTTTCTTCTCAGTGGCACATAAAATTATGCAGGTAATGTGTGCAGAAACACCAAATACTTGATAATGTTAGCAAATATAAACTTAAATACTGTAGACCTTAAATATTAAAAAAAAATAAATTTCTCTCCTTACTGCCACATTGAACCCAGGTTCTGTTTCATGCCACCTAATTTTAGCACCTTTAAGATCAACGTCTTATCCAATTTAGTCCCTAACACTCCCTCCAGGGCCAGTGGAGTAATACTGAATCAGTCATCGATGGAAGATGATTCATCGCAGCCCCAGACTGTGCTTAACAGGGATGGAACGAACTGTTATCTGTTTTCCTTGGTGTCTAGCTACCTAGTTTTGAATGAGTGTCCAACATTCAGGCAGGTGAACTTAGCAAGCATTATTCCTGCCTTAAATCTGTGGTCAGAAGGTCAAACTGGGTTATTTCTTTCTGTCTCATGTATAAGCAAAAGAGACGCTTCTTCAAGCCAGATTCCATTTTCAGTAATACTGTGTCTACTAGCAGCAAGAAAGCATGTGAAGAGAATCCTCAAAGGTTGGATTTCTAGGATTTCACTTATTCTTAAAAATAAAAACATTCTCCTGCACCTTTTTATGGTTTGGTGGGTGATACCTCAAAGAAATTTGGATGACTGAAGAAGAACCTATATGCTTCTTCACTTTTCAAAACCTTAAAGCCATATGTACCTTGCAAAGTAAAGGGTACATTCCTTTTTAATCTTGTTATTCCTTTTCCCACCTATCCCATGTGTATATTCATTATATTTATTTCCCTGACCTCTATTTCACCCCACACCAGTTGGCACTATAGGAGTCTGTTCTATGGTGGTTTTGTTGCTTTTTCTGTCATGATGTCTTCTTTGCAGAAACTCTTTTTAAGAAGCTGCAGGGCTTTGCTCATTTGTACCCTTAATATGCAGGGAAACTTCAGGCATGCCAGCAGCAACAACCCTGTATCCAGAGAAGAACTGATGATAATCCTGTCTAGACTAGATGGCTTACACATCAGAGGCCTTTACTTCACGGAGACTCAACGCTTAACCCTTGGTGAGGTTGGGCTGGAGGAAGCCACCAGCGCAGGAAGTGGCAGCATTGCACACAATGTAGAGGAGTGCTCGTGCCCTCCCGAGTATGCCGGTGACTCATGTCAGGTAGGAAGCGTTTGCCTCCATGCAGTACCATCTTCTTCTGTCTTGCCTACAGCTATACATACTGGTTTAGTTAGAGGAACAGGGTGGTTATTAAAGTAATTAAATGTGCTTCTTGTAAGCATGTGCACTTTCAGTGGCTCAGAAGCTTTCACTGTCAAAGAAGCACTGTAGGGTTATTCAACTCGTGATTGCTTTTGTGGAACTGTGAATGTCATTTTACGTGTGTAAGGCACAGTAATGAGGGATTCTTCTGTGGTGCCCTACAAGAAGCTGAATACTCTCAGTTGATACTTTCTTTAATGGAGGGAAGGTCAGAGGTGTCTTGCTCACAGTCTGTGGGACCCTGCATGTGGACAAGTTTCCTTTTTTTATCAGGGAAGTGCATTACAAGGCCCAAGGGAAGTAACCTGAACCTAGATAATTATGTATGCTTTCCTGTTTTTATAGACTGACTAACAGTTTTCCTATTTTCATAGGAAAATATTTGAAAATTGAAATTAGAATGTTTGAAAAAGAATTTTGAGATAGTCTCATGAAAGATAATATAAACATTGCAAAGTAATACAATTACCTGAAGAATGGTGAAATCCTAGCCGCAGTTGCATATCGTGTCTCTGATGCTGTTCCTGTAGCTGTGATTCTTTTGGTTGTGACTTTGCTTAGCTTAGAGCTTGACTGTTGACTTGTGTAAGCACCCACAACTGCAGAATAAAGTACTGGAGAGATAAGTGGTGTAGAAAGTGCACAAAATGTGAGGAATTATTCTCTCAGAAAATGGTTGAGGGTTGCCATTAAGCAGCAATTGCTGTACTAACCTTGCAAACACTTCTGAAATGAGAATGAAAGAATAATATCTACAGCAGAGCAGCAGCAGAGAGACTGAACAAAACAACATTTACGGATGGCTTATGTTTCATGTGCATCCATGCTCAGGGCAGCTATTCATCACCTGTCAAATACCATTTTGGAAATACTTCTAGAAACCTGTTTTTTCACACATTTGATGTTCTGTGCCACACACAAATTGATGAGCATTGACTGAAATTCCTCCTGCCATCCTGTTGCTTTCAACATACTGCCTTGCTCAACTAAACTGTTGGGGATTTTTATATAGCCTGGTGGAAATACATAGTCAAAGGAAGTTATCAAGACGCTCACCTGGGTAGTTCGTAAGCCCTCTGTGTTTATGCAGCATTACTCAGGCAGTGATTTACTGCTCTAATCACCTAGCTCTGTCTGGCTGCCTTAGGAGGGGAGGAGGTGATGCCTGCCACACCCTGGCTTCGGTATATATCGAGCTACAGGAACTGTGGGGTTACTTGTTAACCTCAGGAAGGTAATGTGTGCTGTACAACTTGACTCACGTATAAAGTTTGAAGGTGGGGCCTTTAAACAGCACAGAGCCTCATTAATCTGAGTCAGAAGCTGGAGAAGAAGGGAGAGTTTAAGAGAACGGGCAAGCGCCAGAAGGATAGCAGCGTATGAAGGGATAGCAGTGTATGAAGGGATAGCAGCGTATGTTCGCAGTAGAGCTAAAGTGAAATGATGGCCCAAGCACAGCGGCCGAGCAATGTAGGATGGCTGGCTGTCATGTTAGTAGCCCTGGGGTGTTGTTCAGCACAAGATATGCAACAGAGGTTATTGTATCCTCACCTTCAGAAGGGGAGTCAGCAGCAACAAGTTCAAATGGAATTTTACCCTAGACAGGTAATTTGTTCATTTTCCCTTCCTCGTTTGCTTCCTTCTTTCTCTTTTTTTTTAAATGAACTAATTGAGAATAACTCATATCTTACTTAATATAAAAGTAATAAGAAGGTAATAATAGCGATGATGATGATAATAATAATAATAATAATAATCTGTCTCAAAATAATTTGCTAACAAAAGTATATGCAAAAAGTTTCTTTTAAATTTCTGTTTACTTGAAAACAAGCAGCCTGAAGTCCTGAGCATTTGAAAGTGCCTAGAGCTTTATCTTTGTGTGGAAGCAATTTCTCAGTATCATGAATGCTGCTTCAAAAACAAAGTGCCCATGTACTCCAAATACGTTGTTTAAAGACAGCATAAATAGAAAACCAAGAAGCTGCACAGGTTTTTTTCCAAATGCATTTGGAGGTATTTTTAAAATGAATGATTAATTTTGTTCTCCAGAAAGAAATTTTCAGTAAATAAAATTTATATGCATTAGAGCCTATATTTCACTTAGTTTAACTGTTTCACTGTTTAACGTATTTCAGGCCCTGGTTTCTTCAGAAGCTGTGTATATTGGCTCCCTGTTGTTCAGGGAACTTATTCACGCTTTTAAAAATGTATTTGAAAAATTTCAAGTGCCTATTCTAAATTCAGTCCTTGCTCACACTGAAGTCTATTAAAAGCCGTTGATGATATTAGCATTCTGCATATTTTTGGGGTGGGTTTTTTTTTTCCATTTATTCCATATGTAAAGAAGACAAAAGTGCCACTAGCAACTGTTGTTTATACAGCAATAACTCAATATTCCTTTTAGGATCTGCTTTTGGAAGAGGTGAATTTTTTTATCTGGTAGTTACATGGTTGATAAATTCACTGCATAAACACACCTCAAACTACTAGAACATGATTTGAGACACTGTCCTGCAAACCCTTTGCTGTTCAGATTAGTCTTATCAGTCTTGCTGGTTGAAGTGCTATGAGAAAAGATTTATGGCTTTAAAGTTCAACTGTCACTTGTTTTCTGAATGTTGTTGGGGCCAGCCCTAACCGTGAGGTGCAGAAGTACATTGCCAGAGGCAGGAACCTGGGAGGTGTTGGCTTCGTGGGGAGCACAGCTTTTGTACAGCCTCTGATCTTCCTTGCACCACACCAGCTTAGTTAGTAGGGAAAAGGAGCTAGAGAATAGGAGTGATAGACTTATGTCCAGTCATTTTTGGTGTGGTTGGTCTGCCAGGAGGATGCTGAGCAGAGAAGGTGGGCATGAATTTTTGAATTGGTATGTATACGGGAAGGCTCCATGCAGAGAAGGAATTCCTTGTGCTTTCCTTACCCTTCTGCTTTCCCTGCCCATGTCAAACATGAACCTGGTTTTAACATATTAGTTACTCCCTTCTTGGTGTAGGCTAACAGACTTTATGTCTGTTGCTTCATTCATAATGTTCCTCTGGTTCAACTCCCTGTTTAAAGCCAACTTTGACCTGACAGGCTGTGCTTTTGCTCCTGTGCCCTCAATAGCTGAGCATTCTTCTCATGCTTCCTGGGTCTCTGGGGCAAGCCTGTACTTACAAATTAGACTGCTGTATGTTTTGTTATATCACCTAGCTCTAAGCCTGGCTTTGTATAGTTCTAGACTTACTGTGGAAGTCATGATGAATTCATGTAAAAGATGTCTCATCAGAAGTATTTCCAAGGAGTACACCGTAGTTAAATTAGCATCAAGATTTCATATAACCACTAGCTAATATGTGAGATTTCCATATGTTCTTCCCTGAGAACACTGTAGTGTGAATCTATATTCATTTTTTTTAGTGGTTTAAAAGTCTTATTCTACACCTTTGTAGGTAGGCACAGGAAATGTGTTTTGCTCAGAGGTTAGAGTCAAAATGATGAAAACCCCACTAACACAAAGTGTAGACCACAAGGTTCAGATTAAATTCTTCAGCTCCATTCATTGCTATTCACTGTCTTAAAATATTTATAATTTAAACAACAATATTGACTTAGAAGAGCTTTCAAGGAAATGTACACCTCCACTACTCCTTGGAAATGGCAAACAATTTCAAAATATGCTTCTCATAATCTGTAAAACTTTCCTTCTGCCAACACTTACTGTTTTTTTTCTCTCTGCTTACTGTCTAGGAATGTGGCCTTGGATTTTACCGTGAGACTAATGGATTATTTACTGGACGCTGTGTCCCCTGCAGCTGCAATGGAAATTCAAATAGGTGTCAAGATGGTACTGGAAAATGTATTGTAAGTAACTAACATTCAAAAAATGAATTGGAAAAAAAGGAGGACAAAAATTTACCTTACTGCAGTATGGACTATACAGTATTGTTAAATTCCAGGAAAATGAAAATAATCCTTGTATGCCTCATTCTCTATTTCTTGTACTGTTAATGAGCATAAGTTGCATACACTTATATGCAAGTTTAAAATAACTGTGTGATTAGAATAAGTTTTGTCCTTGGTTTTGTTTTCTTCTTTCTCTTATAATTTTTATTAGCTCATGGTACAAAACCTCACCAAATCAGTACATACATAAGTGTTAGCAGTTATTTATAATAAATATGGGTCTTATCCTGGCATATGGAGCCCTTAGTTTTATACATATATACTAGGATGTCCCGATGCTGACAAATAGCACATTCATGCATACCATAGCCTTTGCAGAATCTCATGTTTAATCAGCATCAATACTTCTCCACTAATCTTAATCTACAGCGACATGGATTAAAAAATATTGGAATAAATAAGATGAGATAATGGACATAAAAGATTAATTAGAAAATTTCAGCTGTAACAGAAGATGTAGAAGATTTTTGCTCCCTGGCAAACCATATTAAACCCAAAGCAGCCTCCTGGGAATGGACCAGGCCTTGTAGCAATGGAAGTGTGACATTTGGCTGACTGTTCTTCTCCAGCTTGTATCCCTGATGCTTCTTTGAACACTTTGTTCTGAAAAATTCCCACTTCAAAACTTCTCACCAATTTTTCACTTACTGTGTAAACAAGAACCTTGCCAACATCTTTCATGGTCTGTCTTCTCCCTTATTTCTTCCTTGTTTGTGCTGCATCCGTTCCGCCTGCGGTGCATTCCCGCGCGTTATGTCATTCCCCCCGATTTTGTCTCAACCAACCCTCTTGCTTTAATGGAAACTATACACCAATTCAGCACATTCTGGGGGATGACTTACAGGCTGCTGCTTTGGAGCAGCAGGGCAGGCCATGACAGGAAAGTGCTGCAGCAGAGCTATAAAGATGAGGAAGTTTTATTTCAGATGAAAATTACAAAGGAAAAAAAATGCAAATTTCACTTTTGCCTCATGAAGTGTATGATTTAGGTTGCTCTTTAACTGCTCCATCTCACAGCTGGATTAACTTTCAGATGGATAAAGCTAAATCAACACTTGGCCCTGGGACAAAATTTAGGGCAAGTGAAGTCATCCAGAATAATGCAGTGAAAAATGAAAGCCCAGAGGGCCTGTATTTCCATCATGAGCCTCTACCTACTAAGGAGCAAGTTTGTCTGTCTGTAGAGGAGACATGGGACAAAGACCTGTAGTGGTGCAGAGAATACAATGAGGCTTCCCAATGTGGAATCGTCAAGATTCATATCTGACTTGACCTCCTTCTTCCTGCTCCTCACCTGGAGCACTGGACCCCAGTACCTTCCTATGTCAGTGTCTCTCCAGTGATAGCCCCCAAGGAAGGCTCTGTGAGGCTAAGCCTAGGCTGACTCTTTCCTCTGTGGCAGAAGTGCAATCCTGCACAGCTCAGGCAATGCCTACCCCACCGCATGCTCGTGGAAAGAGGGGGGTGCAGTGCTGCACTGCTGAAAGTGGAGGAGAACGAGGTGCAGGAGGAGATAGAGAAGACAGCAGAACTGGTTCTTATCTCTAGGGGAAAGCTGGCCCTCTACCACCAACGAGCCTTTGTGTCCTCATGGTCCCTGCCTTTCCTCCTGAAAGGCACATTCCCTCAGCAGCAGCATGGTGCTGGGACTTGCTCATCCTGTGACATGTTGTTTCACGTCACGTAACTCCATGCACAGAAGTATTTCTGTTGTGGCCCTGACACACTCTGCTCTAGATTCCTTGTACCATCTGGGTGCATATGGAGTCAACGGAGAGTTTTCCTTTCAGAGTTTTCAATATTTGATGGTTTGGAGATGCTGTTACTCCAGGGATGTCTCTGGCCCTGTGAAACTTAAAGGAAGACCCAAGAGGGTGTTGTTGCTCTGGCTTCATTCCACCATGCCCTGGGAGCACTGCGTTATGTTCTCCAGTCCTTAGGCACCATGTAGCTAGAGCAACAGTATGGCACATTCAGAGTGGCTTACATGTGAAACATCTTAAGCTTTCTTCAGCTATATGTGAAATTCCTTTGATTTCTATGCACAGAGTGAGCAAAACAAAAGCCAGGAGATAAATTTAGGGAAAGGGACAGGTTGCTTCAAGTTGAAATCAACACAATTATTTTTAAATGCCTCTCTTTTACTCTATTTGCAGTCTATTTTTCAGGATTGTAGAAATTTACAGTAATTGTTCAGAAACCTTCTGAATTTTTCCATGAGAGTTTTTGCAGATATAGATGCACCATTTTTTGTAGAGGCTGCATTTTTAAATGGTTTGTTTTACAAACATAGTGTCTTCATATTTCATTAGCTTTCCCTAGTTAAATGGTCCACGTGTGAACTGGAGCTTTTCCTGTCATTTCCCAGAACCTTTGACAAGTGAGCCACAAATTTAATTATTTAACCAAAATGAAAACCAATTGTGGGTTACTATATGTAGAGGCTGAGGGAAGGGCTGTTGATGTGGTTGAGGGAATCTGGGTGTGAAGAAATGTGAAGGAGTATGGAGAATAAGAGGAGATGGCAGTGACAGAACTGTTTCTCATTTGTAGGCAGAAATGCTCCTCTGCTGCAAAATATGGTATTAGGGCCTTCAACCATAGCCCTAAGCCATCAAAGTCCATGAAATGGCAGTGTAATCTGCTCAGTGACTGCTTCCAGACAATTTCCCACTTTATTTTTCCATCTTTCACTTTATTGGTACACCCTCAACTCTGTGGGACACTGAATCAGGCTGTTGCACACTGAAGAGAACAGCTGTAGAGCTCAGGAGTGTGAATGTCTCTCGAGTGTGGGTCACATGGAATTTTTATGGCTGTTCAGAGATGTGTTTGAACAACTTCTATTTTAAATTACCATTGCTTCAGGTCATGCAAAAGCAACTTGCTCATCCTCTCCCCATAATGCATAAATATGTGTGACAATTAGACAGCACCAGGAATAAAAATGTTTCTAAAATAAGATAAAATTCCCAACAATTTTATCACGGAAAAAGTGGCTCACTTGTATCCATTTCAATTGTTTTCCAAGCCTTTGCTTTTCATTATCTCTTCCAGTCACCTCAGATAAATACAAATTAAATATACACTGGAGAAAGCACATGAAATTCAATCCTGATCCTAATCTACTAAGAGAAATAGTTTTTATGTTAATGTCATGGGGTTTTTTTTAAGAATGTGCTTGGGCTCAATTAATTGCATGCTTTTAAGTGATGTCTGCCTTCTAATTAGTGTTAAGACCCAAATTTAAAGTTCCATTTAAACATAGTGATTTTGAATTGAAATATCAAGACATAGAGAGTGCATTAATGAAATGTTCTTTAACAAACTACACATCTGGTTGAATTGCTTTAAAAATTTATTTAATGCTACTTCTTTGTCTTTTGCTTTTCCACAATAATGAGCAAATTGTGTTTTCTACAGTTAGAGGATGATTGGAATCAATCCATCCTGGTCATGAAGGCAGTTTGGCAATAAATGCTTGATTAGGTGGAGGGGAAAGAACATATCCTCTGAGTTGACCGGCTAGATTTTTTTTTAAATAGTAATAAAGCCATACTGAGAGGTAAAGCACTATTAACTGTCTTGCTTGTTTCCTTTTTTAAGAACTGTCAGTATAATACTGCTGGGGAGAAATGCGAGCACTGTAAAGACGGTTATTTTGGAGATGCCACTCAAGGTTCCTGTCGTGTGTGTCCTTGCCCTTATACAAACAGGTACAGTAAAAGGTTTTGAGTAGCAAGCAGAGGGTAAAAGGGAGGGAAAAGTGGGGGGGGGGTGGAGGAAAAAATAAACCCAACCCCAAACCCTGCTACTATAGCAGGATAATGGTCTTTGTTCTCATATCACCCAACATGGTGGAGCATCAGACCCATTTGAGGCGCCTAAGACCAGCAGTAACTTGGTGTTCTCTCTCATGGTATTGCCTTTTTTAAAAAGCTGAGTATTACAATTCTCACTCACTTCCTGAACCATGAAGGCAGACTGCTGACTGCCTGGAGAACCCCAGGCAGTTGTCATGGGCTTATGTACAAAGCCACCAGTAACTCCATAGTGAGAAATAGAGAATGGAAGTCTTTTCCCTCACTAAGCATATATTTCTTCTTTACCAAAATACAAGATGTAAGTTATCTTTAGTCTCACATTTAGCACTGTTACTCTGGCTAGGAGATACATGAGAATGATGAAACAAGCCTTCTATATGAATTCAGAAAAATTAGTGAGATGCAAATATAAAAACATTAAAGCTATTGAGCATGTATCTAGATCGCTGAAAGAGTATGTTTGCTCTTCTGGTGGAAGCTCTGTTTGAAGTGCAAACATACCGAGCTAGAAAAAAATTGTTTCCTTGGATCTAATAAGGTTGCCAGGCTTTCGAAATTGGGCAGTAAATTGCATTTTAAATGCATGATACATTTAGCCGTATTGATTGTCATCATTGGTCGGTTCTGAAGTGTGAAATGTGTTAGATAAAAACAAATATTAAAAAAACCAACCTTAAGCTATAAATTGCTAAAGCTACCACATAGTATTTGCCAGGTGCGTTAGCAAACAGCAAATAGCCTTAAGTAAGAGATTTACACCAGCAGACAATAGACAGGTGTTTCATTTATCAGAGAATTCTCTGATAGATCTGGTTTTGACAGCACTGGCCCCTTCTGCAGATGCTTGCCTGAGGCTGACTGAACTTATTTTTAGTCATCTTTTGCTTTAAGAGTGCTGAAATATCATGGGAGACCATAAACCTGTGCAGTTTCATAGCTGCACATTAGGGTAGTAAATACCATTCCTGACATACGAAATGCACCCCACCTGGCATTATTGGAGCTGACAATTTTTCATCTAGTCAAATTATAAGTAATTCTTAGTGTAGACATCTGTCTCTGATACACAGTCTTGCTTCATCCAACTGTTCATAGGTTAAAAAATGAAAGTAGCCAATCTCTGCTTTACCTCCTGCCTTCTCCTTCCTAAACATCAGCCAAAAAATGGGTTTCCTCCCAGAGAAATTTGAATCTAGATGAGTCTGCTAGAAAGAGCAGACAAAAACATTCATTGTGTTAACCAGATATACTCTGGAGCTCCCCAAAATGGTGCACATCTCTATTCAGCCTTGGTTAAAAAAAAACAACCAACAATATTAGCTATATAAAAATATCCTCTAATGTTTCCATCAATAAGATAAGAAAAAAACCTATCCAAAAGGAGCAAATGTTGTCTACCACAGGCTATTGATTCTTGCCTAGTAAAATAATAAAGCTACCCAGACTTGTTTTATTTTACAACATCACTATTAAGGTTTATTTTAGGCATTCCTTTGAGTAGTGAACTACTATATCCAGTTCAGAGGGTCAGGAGATGATTATTTTTTAGTCTAAGGGAAGAATTTAGAGGAAAAAGATGAAGCTTCAAAGAAATAGTCACAGCAATTTATCTAGAGGCAATTAAATTAGCTGAGAAGTAATCTGGTGGTTTAAAAACATTTTAATCTGAAAGTCATTTTACTAAGCTCAGTCTCTAGAGTGTAAAACCTATTTGATGATGTGCTCACAATAACATTTTTGCTTCCCCTCAAAGATTTGCAACTGGCTGTGTGGCAAATGGTGAAGAAATTCAGTGTCTCTGCAAAGAGGGCTATACTGGAGTTCGTTGTGAACGGTAAGTGACTTGTTTCTCAAGACCAAGGTTTTTGCAAGACACCATAAAAAGAGGTATATCTGCATTGGGGCACATATGGATGTACGCATATGCATAGCATGCATGTGTTTAAAGAGTATCTATTTATATGAACAGCTGCTATTGCATGGTGCTATAGTGCAATTCTAGACTTAAACCCAACACTCCCTGAAGAAGTGTAAACAATTCTCCACAGACTATTTAGTGACTACACAGTTTTTACCAAAAAGAGAAGTGGCAGCCTCTTTGCCTAAGTGCCCTGTGCCTTGCCTTATCCATTACAACTCTTTGTTGTAATGACTCCCACTTACTTCATCCCTTTTGGAGTTAAAAACACTTTCCTTTTTCCTCCAAGGTACCTGATGGTGCTTCAGTGTTCTTAATTATCCAACAGCAACCATGTAACTTTTAACACCACAGCCTTCATGTCAAATAATTCTGATGTGCTCCACAGGTGGAGCATACAGTTGCAATGCTGAAGCCATCTCTTCCGCTATAACATTGCAGCAGTTTGGCAAAGCACAAGAGGAACAGCATGGCAGTTTCAGGCAGGCAGAGGAAGCAATTTCACTGAGTTTCAAATCCAGGGAGAATTTAAGCGTAATGGAGTGCTGTTATCTGGTTTGGAAACTTGAGGCAAATAAGTCATTATGTCTCACCTGCAGACAGTACCTCCATTAGCACATTGTCTTGTGCTTCAAGACTGTTGCCTTTGACATCTAAGCTGCAGGTTATAGACAGATGTCCTCTTCCAAATCTGGCTGTACCTCAGCTGCTCACTGATCACATATCACCACCCCTACAGATATTATAACAGAGTGACTTCTAGGAATATTAGCTAGCCAGTCTGAACAATATATTTTATCTATACAATATTTAGAGATCCCTCACACAGATTTCTTTGCTGGCAGATGGCAAGAGGAGTTATCATCCAGCAGAAGGGTGATAATGTCATTCAGTGCCATTACTGTTTGAAATCTCAACATGTACTTGCAGTACAATCCTTCTTAATATGTGTTTTCTGGTGTGATCACAGACTAGGGTGGTGTGGCTTCCTAGGTTGAGCCTTGTCAAATTCTCCATGTATGTATGTATCTGTGTGCATTATATTTTTTCAGATTAAGTGAATTATTCCTATATGAGCATTGTGGGAGTTTTTCTATTTTTAGAAAAAAATTCTGCAGTACTTGGAAAGATATTTTTAGCATAGTGCAGAGGATACTGCAAAACAAAAATATACCTTTTTTTTTTCTAAGTTAAGACATGAAATCAAAAGTCCTTGAAAGTTTTTTCAGGAAAAAAACCTGGTTTTTTTTGGCCAAGGGAAAGTATATTTCACAAAAGCAGCTTCAAATATTTAATAAAAAGATATTTCTATCTCTTTATCTAGCTGTGCTCCAGGATATTTTGGAAATCCACAGAAATATGGAGGCTACTGTCAGAAATGTAACTGTAATAATAATGGACAGCTGGCTAGCTGTGACCGCCTGACTGGAGGTACGTGAGAGCCTGTGAACATGGAAGGGAGAATTGTTTTCTCTCTGGGAAGCAGAGAAGGAAGGTACTTAGATCAGTTGAACTGAAAGATGTAGACTTAAAGGAAATGCAGATAATTTTTAACAGAAAGTAAGGTTTCCTAAAACATATCAGGATGGTAATTCAATGGCTGTCCTGAGTAATTGAGTTCACCCTTTTAAGCCATTTTATCATGTATTTCCCTTCATAAACATTACCAATTCTGTTTTGTTTAATTGTTTCACGAGTATGTTTTTAAATGAATTATGATTCCTCTTCTGACATAAGTCATATCTTGCCAGTCTGTGCTATGGGCTTATGAAACTGAGCAGTCTCAGCATGCTTTTTAAAAATGTATTTGGGACAGATCAGTGACATCTTCAGAGTCCGCATCAGGCACTGCAATTTTAGGTATCTAAGCTATCTGTGTTTTTAATGGAGGTTAGGCCCTGACTCAGGAGGCTGCTTTGTAAATCCTGCTATACTCCATTCTGCCATCTGAATCTATCCGTGATTTTCCCATTACCAGTCATGTCCAGCACTACTACTAAGCTCTTATAAGAATATTATGCCACTGGTAGATGTTTGCTTTACCTATTATAATTCTGAAGTAAAGGGTCCGAGCCTACATTCCTCAGACTGTATTTACCTCAATTCATTTCAATCCCTTGGGATATTCATTTCTATTCAGAAATACATAGGCCACTGTTTCTGAAAAGGACCTTGATTTTCCCATATTTTCATTCTCCAGTAAAATTACACTTTTTTTTCCCCTGTAGGCTGCTTTTCCTCCTCAGATGTTAATGAAGTCTCAAACTAAAAATTCCTAATATTTCCATGTTCTTCATTTCTCTACATTGCTCTTCATAGTGCATTAAAATGACTGCCAAGGATCACAGAAATTAGAAAAGCAGCAAGTGATGTGAACTGCTGTTGGCAGCTGGTACAATTTTTCAATAGCTAGTTCTCATTTCATATTTCATCACTGAAGTAATACATCTTCATCGTATTTATACCTTGGGTGGAACAGATGCAAACAGCGTTTGATATTTTGTCATGCCTTTCTTTTTGAAGCAGGAGTTTGCTAGGACAAAATAATCTATAGGGCAAAATTCAACACACCACTTTGTTTTCAGTTTGTCTCCAACTATATATTCAGATCAGTCATCTCTTTCTCTGCATTAGGAATAAAAGCCTCTGTGATCATCAGCACAGCATGTTCTAGCAGGTCGCTTGTGCGTGATGTTCGGCACTTGGCCAGGCTTTTTTATTTCACCATTTCTTGGCTGATGTTGTTTGTGCACACTCTGTAATAATAGTTTTTATTTCATTGGTACTTCACAGTGACAGCTGAAATGTGTCTGGAGTTAGCTGAATTACACAACAGCAGAACTCCACGGGTATTTGAATTTCAGTATAATTTCCTTCATTCTCTTACAAATATATTCTTTGTGGCTTGCCTCCTTTTGGCAGCAGCACTCACTACCAATCCCATTTAACTTCCTGATGAATTAATGTGCAAGTGCCAAAGGAAATGGCATAACTAGGCAGTTTGTTCCAGGCTGTTTCATGCTGCTGTTAAAGTTCAGGTACAATTTTATCACTGGAACGTCTCACAGTTGCAAGCCGTTTTTGACTCTTGACAGCGGCAGCCTATACCCTGAGTGCATCCCTTTCCTTCAGAGTAAAAGACATTCATAGCTCTTTTCATTTTCAAGAGTAGATGAGAGTCTGGCAGTAGGACCAAGCTTGTAAAAGGGGCTTTAGGCATCAAGATGGAGAGATTCCTGTCCTATATGATGGCATTTTTAGGAGCCAGTTCCTCTCCTGCCTCCTAGAAGTTAGGATCGCAGGATGTTACAATCTCACATGCACCTGGAGAGTATTAAACTTCTTATAACACGGTTTGTAAAGCAAACAAAACAAAGTAGCACACAGGACAGGCAGTCACTTGTGCTAACTTGTTGGAGAGTCTGAGGGCAATGTTTTTGTTATATACCACCTGCATCTGTTGTCCAAGCTCCATGCCTTGGGTTGCATACAGTGCCTCCTTCAGTGCATACACTGTGTATTTCTCTTGATTAATCCCTTAATCTTGCAAACTCTGATAGATAGGAAGGCCATAAAGATTCTGATAGGAAGGCCATAAAGATTTCACAGTTCCTTGTTGGTAAGACATCCTTTGGGGAATCAGAATCTGTGGTTTGAATGGGGATGTTGAAGTACATAAAGGGGTTTGAACCTATGTCCTAGGTAAAATGCTTAAACGAGTCTTGGCTACAATCCTGGTGGTGTTATTCTAGGCAAATTCTTGGAATACATTCAGCACACTTGATGTGAGAGAGCCTCCTGCTGCTAACCAAGTAGCATATATTGGGGGCTGAGGTTATTACAGTCAGTTTCCTTTGAGGAATGAAAAAGATGTTGATCTCAGCGAGGCAAAAGTAGGAGCAGAATGTTTCGGCATGCTCAGGCCTTATGGCATTTCAGCTCGTTCACAGTAGGCATGGATTTATGGAAGGGTAGCACCATGTTTTAAATACTGCCAACCATGAAAAAGTGAGGGCAAAAATGCAATAGTAGTATTTCCATAAGAAAACTTCGATTACTGATGACAGCCTTGTGATTTCAGAATGTTTCAATAATGAACCAAAAGATGTGGATCCCAATGAAGACTGCGACCGTAAGTAATAAAATAGAACTGCACTTAGATTGCTGTCCGCTGGCTTCAGACATGTACTGATGACTCTTAAGGGTGGCACAGTATAAAAAGGACCAGCGGTGTCCTGTAGTGAATATTTTAAAAGCAAACATTCAACCAAACACTTGGAAGAAATTATAAAAGAGGTCAGCTAGCCAGATGCAGATGGGGCCTCCTCCTTATTTCTGAGTGCTGTCACCCTCCTTAACACTGTGGGCTTTGTTGTCGCCTTTGTTCTTCAGGTGGCATCAGTTGACAAGCAACAAAGTTTTTCCATTGCATCTCATTTATTAATGTGCTCACTGAAATGTTCTCTGCACCAAATATCAATAATTTGTATTGTTTTCCTTTGCCCATGCTCTCTTCAGCTTGCGATAGCTGTGTAATTACACTGCTGAAGGATCTGAGCACAATAAGTGACGAGCTTCAGCTGATTAAGTCTCAGCTGCAAAATGTCCATGCGAGTACCCACACACTGGAGCAGATGAGAAGTCTGGAAACACGCATCAAGGACTTAAAGGTAGGTGCACATAAGCAGAAAAGTAGATTTCAGATTAAGCAAATAAGAGCTGAACCTAGGAACTTATGCCATCTCTTTGTCAGCTTGCAAGGAAACATACATCAACTTTTGTTTTCAAACACCAAATCTTGACAGCACTGGGCTTCACCTATTGGAAGAAAGCTGTTGTTTCCACATCATGCTCTGAAAGAGAATCAGTATCTCTCATTTGCCAAGGCCTGCTCACCTCGAAAGCTGTTTCTTTGATGTTTCCCCATAGCTTTGTGTTTTTCCACCACTTCATGCCACTGCATTACCAAAAACCCCCAACATTCCAAGTCAGTACCAAAATTAATCCTAAAAAAATTTCTTTGGTTGGAATAACAGTTGCTATACTCACAGAAAGCCCAGGTTTTGGGCAGCAATTGGTCAGCTTTCATGTCACTAATGCAGCTTTTTTTTACCTTGGGTAAAGATCTAACCCAGTGAATTTTTTCTTTTTGTCTCCTGTGTATGGGTGATCTATTGGATTTTTTTCTTTCTTTTCAGGTCTTACTGAACAATTACCGTTCAGTTGTTCATAATCAGGGTTCAAAGGCAGATGAGTTGGAGACAGAATTGATTAACCTAAATCATGATGTAAATGCTCTCCAGGAAAAGGTGACTTACCAAATCGATTTAAAAATATCTATCTCTTGTCTATGTATTAGCATGCTGTATCCAGGTATTTTTCATCTAATCAGTTTTTCCCTTGCTAGGCTGAAATGAACTACAAAGCAGCTGAGATATTATTTAATAATTTTGGCCAAACTCATCAGAAAGGAAAGGATTTGGTTTCACGAATACAAATAGTTGTCAACAGTATACAAGGTAAAAATAGTTTCTAACTCCATAACATGTTCTGTTTTATGGCATATTTTTAGTTTATTTACAATATTCTTAATTAAGCATGAGAAGTTTGCTTAGAAAACAACTTCATAAATCAGATTTTAGACATAGCTGTGGGATTCACTTTTCCTATTAGAAATCTAATATACAATGTTAGTTCAGGAGCCTACCTTCCCTATGCAGTGAGTAAGGACAGAGAAGCTTTATCACAGGGGACATTTAAAGCAACAAATTGACTATCCTGACTTTACTCTGACTTTCATTTGGGTTGCTATCATAGGCTCTTTTAAGTTAGAAGCTTAAAATTATTGCTGTGAACTTGGTCATTTGGGACAAAGGTCAAGCCCAGTGCCATCTTACTAGCTCTGACTGTGTGACATGGGATGCTTTCCAGCTTAACACAATTAATGCAAAATGGATCTGCTTCATTAAGGAATTCAGGAACAGGCCTGTCTTTTTCAGAAAAGAGACTGGCCCTGTCATTTGTGTCCTTGTCATAGGCTTAATTTGACTTTGACAATGACTTTGACAGTGACTTCTTTGACTTTGACAATGCCTTTTTTCAGCACTCTTGGAACAAATAGGTGGTACAAATGCAGAAGGTAACAACTTGCCCTTGGGAGATGCTGCCGAAGCTCAACGCATGATGATGGAGATGCGAAATCGCAACTTTGGCCACCTTCAAGAAGAGGCGGAGAAAGAGCGAAGAGAAGCTCAGCTATGTAAGGGCTTGTTCTCTCCGCTTCTTACTCTCTAGAAAGATCAGTCTCAAATCTGAAGCATTATTGATGGTTTGGGATGGAGTGCAGGGAGAGGCATTTTGCAGTGTACCCCAGGATTGTTTGTCATACTCCTAGCAGTCATTAGCCAACAGGAAAGTGGTAGTTCTGGAGGAAATTTAAAGGCATTTCCCCTAACTTCGGACTTTGGTACCTACCTCTGAGTAACTCTTCTGTATCCCGTATTGTAGGCAATGATATGGGCACTCTTAAAAGTGTAATTAATTTGATCTCTTTTATGTTTCTACCTCCTTTGAGGTTAAATGTGCCCATATCGCCTCATTAATGACTAGCACAGATGTAGACATCTACATTGTAGATCAAATTGTTGGTGAAATTGTGTTAGTTCCATTAAAAAAGGGGAAAACTTCAGTATTTGCAGATTATCTTCATCCTTACTGAATTTAGAAATAGCCGAATAAATGTTTATCTGACCTTTATGTCTGCAGCAGCAGACTTTTGAGCAGATTTGATCCAGTGAGATGGTGACTAGCATCTCTGCTATAGTAACACAGAAATTAGTGCTTCAGAGGATGCTCAGTATTTCACACAACCACAGCTTCCTAATCCTAAATGTCAAGCCCTTTTGAAGGAAGTTTGTTCTAGTTCCCTTCTTCACTGAACAAAACTTTTTTTTCTGGTCCTGATATTGCAGTACTGGCACGTATTAAGAATGAACTACAAAAGTACCAACAAGAAAACCATGGGCTTATAAAAATTGTGAGGGAGTCTTTGAATGAATATGAATCCAAAATCACTGACCTCCGTGAAGCTCTGAATGAGGCAATGGGACAAATCAAGCAGGCTAAAAACTTGAACAGCGATAATGGAGTTCTGCTGGAAGACATTAAGGTAAAGTCAGGGTTTGGGAGAAGAAAATTAAACCTCAGGAGGTAAGAGGTGCTTTTGATTGGTGCTTTTGACCTTGCAAAGCCAAGTAGCAACCTTACCTGCAATGTATGGCTGTGTCTGTGGTGTGCCATTATCCTGGAGTTACGCTGTAGATTGTCACAGGGCTGCTCTAGCCCAAGGAGCTTCCTTCCCCCTAGAGCATTGAATAGGATAAAGTAGGGAGGTTTCATATCACTTTTCTGGTAAGATGCCCAGATGAATGGGTAGTGTAATAATTTTATTTCTGCTTTTTGAGAGAACAGAAAAGATCAAGGTAGTCACCAGTGAGCTATTTTTAAAGGTTCCAGGTTTGGTGTTTCCAGGTTTGAGAGATCTGACATTTAGACGATCTGTCGTGACAGTTCATCTCAGCTGTCCCATACTACATTTACTTTGAGTGCTAATAACTGAACTACTGTAGCCCGCTGCCCCACTGTGTGCTATATTACCACAACTTCATGAGTTTTCTCACTCTTCTAATCAGTAAGATAGGGTTAGTCCCTAAACATTATAGGCATCTGATTAACACAGTGATAGTACCTTTGGTAAATCCTACTACAAACTGGATTAGATAGATAAGGTTTTCCTTGCCTCTAATTTTTAACACAATCACATGTTACTCAACCTTATATTTTTCCTCAGAAACGGATTCAGGAGACAAATGTACAACAGAATGGTATCTTGGATATTCTGAGCTCTGCCCGATCGTCCCTGACGCAAGCTAACAGTGTACTTGGATTAATGCAAAAGAGCAAAGAGGTATAGTTAACCATCTTAAGGTTAAAAAAACCCAATACCTTGCTGTCACTGTAATGGATAGCATAGCTCAGCGGCTAGAACATGAGGCTTATCTGAGCCTCACAAAAAGGGAAGGATCTCGCAGCCCATCCTGGGTGCAAGAGGAGCCTGCCTGCACACGTTTCTGCAAGAGAAGGTTATTGAGGCTTGTAATGTGTCTGAGGAAGATGCTGAGCTGCACATACCATCTCCACCAGTTGTTTCCAGTAACCTGCAGAGGAAGTTGGAAGGGAATATCTTTCCTCTTGGTCTCCTCAGGTGCAACACTGAAGGAGTTGAGAACAAAATCAAACATGTATGAATACAAATAAAATTTTGTCTTTACAACCCTGTAGGAATATGAAAGCCTGGCTGCTCAGCTGGATGGAGCAAGGAAGGATATGAATGAAAAGCTGGCAAATCACTCCTTATCAGCAAGTAAAGAACCGTTGGTGGTGAGGGCTGAGGAACATGCCAAATCTTTGCAAGACTTGGCAAAACAACTAGAAGAGTATGTTGCCATTCCTGTAAATAAGCAATTTTTGTACATAACATCCATGGTTGCAGTGCTCTGTAACTTCACTTGCTTTAATGACCATATGCAAAGTTAGAAAGCAATTTGGTTTGTCTTTTTCTGCTTGTTCATGTTATACAGATGTTTGGGTTTTTTTCACTACAAACCAGGTCTTTTTATATTTTTCCTGATTTTTTTTTTCCCCCAGAAATGGGGACTCCCATAATACAGTTCTATATTACTGGACTAACACTCATTAACTTCTTACTAACAAGAGAAAATCCTCATGTTCAGAGTGGGAAGATGTTTAGAGTATCTTTTTTTTTTTAGTGTTATTTCCTGTACTTATACTCAGATACTTTTATGATGTCAGTGAATTGGGGCAAATAACTGGAAGAAATGCTTTCATTTAAAGACTACTTTGGAGGCCCACAGTTGTGCTTTTCCAAGCACCTGAACTTATTTCATCTTCTGAAGAATCTTTTCATATTGGTCTGCATCTAAGTTTGATATTTTTGCGGAATGAAGTTACAGATCTAACTGAAAAATGTTTTATGTGTTGGCATTAGTAGGAAAACACTGAGGTCAAGGGGATTCAGAATACTTCTCAAAGTTCACAATCTTTACAGAAGACTGCATTTTCCACCCTTTTCCCACAGAATAAAGAACAATGCCAGGAAGGACGAGTTGGTAGGCTGTGCTGTGGAAGCTTCTACTGCCTATGACAATATTATTAATGCCATCAAAGCAGCAGAGGAAGCAGCCAACAAAGCTGGGAATGCAGCAGACTCAGCTTTATCGGTAAGTACCCATAAGTGGCCAAATAATGGTAAACTTGTTACAACTAGATTTTTTTTTTTAAACTATCAGAGAGCCACCAAAAAAGATTCATGTGTCTTGACATGTTTTATTTGTCTCTGACCATTATATGAGATGCTATTTTGCATGTCATGAGTTAGTCTGGGTTCAGCACTAAACTGCCTTTCTGATGAGGCTGCTCATATGAATGCTAACTGTTCCTTTAAGTGCCAAATAAAAACATCTGCATAAGGCAAGCCCAGTAATCACAGAAGGTGATTTCAAATATTCTCTTTTACTTTGCACTAGTAATACCCACAAGCTCTTCAGCAGAGGAGTAGTATCTAACAGCTGTGTGCTATTAATTTATACTGAAAATCTATCAGAAATTTGCTAAAGTCCAAGGTTGTATTATGCTTAAATTAATCTTCGTAATTGTTATTTAAGGTGTTGTTCTTCACATGAAATCTCTACCCTTATATAGTTGTTTTTTTAAACTGGATTGGGCTATCTCTTTTACTCTTCAAATTTTATTGTAATTATTAAAGCAGTCTTACAGCTGTGTGTTTCTATTACCAGATTGTGAAGAGAGAAGACCTATCTGGAAAAGCTGCAAAGTTAAAAACCGAGAGCAGTACACTCTTGAATCAAGCACAGGAGACGGAAAGGACATTGCAAGGTACCAAGAAAGAAGTGATAATAGAAATGTGGCACAGCATGACAAGCTTTCCTTGAACCCTGAATTTTCACAGTTCACCAAAGCTCTGCAGCACATATTTAACCAGAAGAGGCTAGTTCCATTACAATGAGACACTTTGTGATGGTCATTTCCAATGGCAAAAAGGCAAAAAAGTGGATTTCACACCTCTGCTGTGTTGTACTCCTTTGCAACACACCTGCCCAGCAAATCCCTAGCCTTGTAATTGTTTTGCAGTGCAAATGCTCATTCAGTGCTCAGTGTCAACACAAGATCTGTAAGAGTGCAGACTGGTGCTGCCACACTTCCTGTCCAACAGAGAGGTGGTGTTTTTATTTAAAATTCATACAAGGCATTCATTGTTTTACAGCTATTGGTCCAACCCTTGATGACATGAAGCAAAGACTTGATGTCGCTGATGGAAAGAAGAATACACTGCAAATTGATCTTGTCACTCTTCAAAATAATCTCAATGGGATAAACAGAGGTCAGTTACTTACTGATCACTCCTGTTTTGCCTCTTCCTTCTATTACTCTAAGAATCTGCACATGCATTTTATGTGTTTCAGATGACATCGATAGCATCATCAGCAGTGCAAAGAACATGGTAAAAAGTGCTGAGGATGTCACAACTAACGTACTGGATGAACTACTCCCAATTCAAGAAGATGTGGAAAAAATGAAGAGTACCTATGGAAGCACACAGACTGCTGGCTTCAGTAAAGCATTGGCAGAGGCAAACAATTCAGGTAGGTCTTGTATTTACTGTTGCAGGTGCTGTCTGAGACCTGCCAGTATATGCTGGGGGTGGGCCAAGCTGGAAAGCAGCTTTGCAGAAAAGGACCTCCAGGTCCTGATTGGCATCAAGTTGAACATAAGCCAGAAATATTCCCTTGCGGCAAAGGCTGAAACACAGGAGGTTCCCTCTGAACATCTGTAAACACTTTTTTTTACTGTGAGGGTGACTGAGCACTAGCACTAGCCCAGAGAGGTTATAGAGTCTCTATCCTTGGAGATATCCGAAAGCCATCTGACACTAGATGGCCATTCTTGAGCAGGGGGCTTGGACAAAATGACCTCCAGATGTCCCTTCCGATCTCAGCCACTCTGTGATTCTGTGATTTTTTTACTGCATTGACTAGGAAAGTGACATAAACAATTTGCTTAGGCTAGATATCTGTTAGCTGAGATTAAGTGAAATGGACTGCATAGAAACTGCATTGAATATGTAAAAGGGACAGTCACAATCTCAAACAGCATGTTTTTTCATCTTTTCAGCAACTTTGTCTGATAAAGTGAGATAAAACATTTTAAATATGAAACATAAAAGAGCTAGCCCTGCATGTTATCGCCGGTGAGTCATAAGTCATCCCTGCAATTACAAGACTGGCTTAGAAGTCATATTTTAAAAAAATAATAGGTCTAAATTTGTTTTTGTTTGCCTTCTGCATCATAGGCTTGCAGTTCGCTAATACTTTCAGGGTTTGGGTTTTTTTTAATCACGGGAGATGAAAAATTGCTTCCCATTTTAATGAAAATTGAAACTTCTCTCCTGAAAGAAACCTGCCCAGATCCTGTAATCACTGAATTGTGATGACTAGCAACCCTGACACAAGAATGTAAGACATACCCTACGCAGCAGTCTGCCTACTGCAGTCTTCACTGTCCAACAGTGGCAGCAGGAGATACTACTCAAGGAGTAGTAGTGAGATGGACTGCGAACTGACTGAAGGAAAGAAGGAAGGAAAGAAGCCAGAGAGTTGTGGTCAA